TGCCGATATTTCAGATATATACCTCGGTCCAGATCTTTCACTGCATGATTAAGGACACATGCAAAGAACAGGTTAAATAGGACAGGAGCGAGAACACATCCTTGTTTCACGCCGTTGGTGATGTAAAACGGGACTGATGTGGCTCCATCAGACAATATTTTGCCTGTCATGCTGTCATGAAAAAGGCATATAATCTTTGTCTACGAATGGACAAATTTTCTTGGGCAGCCAAATCGTGTTAGAATGGTCCAAAGGGCTTCCCTGTTGACGGTATCAAACACCTTTGTCAGATCTATGAAGACAGCATACAGGTGCATGTTCTGTTCAATGCACTTCTCTTGTATTTGTCTGACAGCAAACACCATGTCGACTGTGCTCTGGCCAGGTCGAAAACCACATTGACTTTCAGGTAGATTTGCCTCGGAAATACTGGCTATTAGGCGGTTCAAGATGATGCGGGCGATGATCTTCCCTCCAACAGAGAGGAGGGATATGCCTCTATAGTTTCCACATTCTGCTTTGTTTAATCGCTGGCACGTGAGATTGGGAGTTGATAGTTAAGGAGGGTCTGAGTTCACAAGGGTCTTTGAGACGATCAGATAAAAGGTATTATAGGAAGACATATTATTTATATTATTGCACAGCTATGTTAAATGAGTGATGCCTTTATACATGAAGGGGCTGATCTTGCTCAGTATTAAGCAGAATTTAAGTGGGCAAGTAAAGAAATTATGCTTCAGAGCATGTGTCTAAATTGGTTCAACAGAGGCAGGATGTAAACTCCCCAACCTGAAGAGGGTTAGCTAGCGGAAATGCCTCACTTGCCTTTGTGTTCAATGGAGTTGTTACCATAAGAATATCATGAAAAGATATGTCTGTTTGAGGAGATATATGTAGATGTCCTGGAGGAAATGGACTACCATGAGATCCTAGGATGAGCATACAGGAGAGCAAAAGCAGCCATCTGATTCTTTGTTTAAACAATAGCCACAATTCTAACCTATTCCTTCTTTCCAACAGTGGTGGGGAATAGGGCATACAGAAAGACACCAAACACATCAGTGCTTTCATTTCAGGTGTCTTTTGGACTTTGTGGGGTTTATTAGCTATTAATTTCTATTTCACACACTTTTATTTCTTATTATAGCTACTTAAAAGTATAAGCAGGAACACTTTTTCATTGAGTACATTAAGTTCAACAAGTACTGTTTAACCATGTCAAAGGAGAAATTGAACAATTTAATGTAGCTAAGCAAGAAGTCAAATTTAGATGGACCCAAAGCTAATTAAATAAAAATGTAACCAACAAACGTAAATGGATTTGTTCTGGATACTGAATTTATTGGAAATCAAGTGCCTAATCCTCTATGCTTTGAAGCTAATGGAGCTTTTGTCATGGACCTCAATGGGAATAGGATCAGCTCCCCAGTTTTTGTATTGCCTCTCTGGTTAAGATTCTGAGCTAGATTAGTAGGGATAGGTGAAACAGTTCAGATGAAGTAAATGCTGACCCAAAACTCAAGCCAACCCTGATTTAGAATTTTCATAGGTAGTAAAAAGCTGATAACTTAAATTTTTATACACAAACACCCTCTCTCTCACACACACAGCTCTGCACTTCCTGATTTCAAACTAGACTGGAGGCATCAGTATCAAAAATAGCCGGAAAGGTGGTTTTTGAAACTTGGGAAGGAATACTGGAAATCTCATGAGAAATCCTGTTCATTCCAGATTTCCAGTCCAGACACCCAAATGATTCAGAGGTTTTGGATTTGCATCCAAAATTGTGGGTGCTTATTGGAGCAAAATTCGAGCCATGCCCATCACTACAGTTCATACCAACACAAAGCTGATATAAATAACAACAAGTACAACTTCCAAAGTTACTGCCATATCTTACTAAAGTATTTCATTTTTTAAAAAGGATTTACATATGAAAATTTAATATTAGGGCCTGCTCCTGCAGTCTTTACTCATGGAACTAATTCTTACTCACTTGGGTCCTGGTCCAGCAAAGCACTTTAAATATGTGAGTATACCTATCCCCTGCTTTAATGTTAAGCATAGGCTTTGCTGGATTGGGGTCTTGAAGAGTCCATTGGATACTCAAGTGAGTAAGAACTACAGGGGTAACTAAAGGGTGCAGCATAAGGTCTTTATTTGTATTAAAATCAAGTATTCTATAATTTATATATATACAAGAGGTCATTGATATGTCAATGTGAAGTAACTCTTAACATAAAAATATAGGGCTACAGAAAATTGGTCTGGTGCAATTAGAGTATGTGAGGTTAACTTCCAGCCCCTGGGTAAATTAGAGATGCACTGATGAAAAATAAACAGAATGCCTTGGTGACTTGTGGTAGACCAACATATTCTAGCAAGATTTATATCGCTGCTAATGCCAGCTTTAACCAAACATGCACTTATTCCACTGAAGTTGTATACTCCTATTCTTTTCTTTTATGATTCTTTTTGATCATACTGTGATGTGTTTAAAAAAACACCTATATTTTCCTCCAAAATATCAAATAAAATTAACAAATTAACTGCACTGCAGACTGGGAATAACCAAATCTCTAAAAGGAAAGTAAGAAGTTATGTTTCAAGGGGCAGCACAAAAAATGGTTGATATTGTTAAAGCATAAGAAAAGTAAGTTAATATGGAGGTTAAAATAATGCAGATTGTATTTAGAACTCAACAGATTATTTTAAGTAAAATAAAATATATATTTGCTATTTTTTCCTCATTCTCATCCACTTTATTTTGCTGCATGCTACATTTGTGCTCAGAGAAGAATAGCCTACTTTATATAGATTAAATGCTCTCTCTTTCCGTTTCAGTCTTGTGCAATGTTAATTAATTTAAATACTTGGAATCTGATTTAATAAAATTGTGGGTTTCTTTCCAAAATATATTCTGTAACATCAGATTAGAGAGTTGCTCTTTTATTTCACATTTACTGTATGTTTTCTTCTGTTGAGTGGTCTTTCTGTTCATCAGGAATTGGGGTTTTGTTTAGCTGGTTCTTATTTAAAGGCCTCTTCAGCATCTGATAGCTAACAGTTTTCACTGTCAATCTTTGAGTATCAATCATACTATTGTAATACTCTTGGACAAAATATAGGACATTGAGAAACACACTAGTGGCTCTAGTCAACTTATAAAAAGAGCACTACCATAGTTATCTTAACAGAACAAACTGTATGGGGATATTGAGGGCATTGCCATGACAATTCTAGTTGCTAGGACTTTATTCTTGTTATGTTCTTACACAGACTTATTCATTCCAACATCAGATGCAAATAATCATTATAAGTAGCTGTGTCTGTTGTGGAGAATATATGGATAAAAAAATCTTCTGTTCGTTGGAGTTACAAAGTACGTGGTCAATGAAGTCTAATTTGAATGAATTTATGGGCATGCAGAGGTTGGTAGAAAGTAAAGAATGTACTATTTTGACCTCTGTAGCCTTTACAGAGAGCTTAATAGATATATGTTTTAAATTACTGTATGTTCCAATTACTGTACATTTATGGGACCGTGTGAGCTCCCTCTACGGGCTAATTTAACATCTACAAATTCCAATAATTCTTTTTTGTAACAAAGACTCTGTGTAGCCTAGTGGATAAGGTGCCTGCCTAAGGTTTCTAAGGTTGTGCTCTTTTGAGCGTGTGCAAGATGGCTGCCACAAAAGTGTTTGAAGCTGCCGCATTTGAAGCTGC